TTATTAAAGCATAAGCTCAGTCATGGTCACCTAGTCATTAATATTGTACTTTATTTCATTGAACTTTTTTTTGTCTCTTTATTAATCTGCATTTATTATTTATATCTTCCCCCAATATTTTGATTCATAATTTTCTTTTTTTTTTTTTTTTTTAACAGGGGAAAGCGCAAACACAGTCCTCCACTACCAAAAACTATGCAGCTATGCAGTCGAGTTTCCCACATTTGGGGAAATCACAGGGGTCAGCACATCCGGAGTGCAATGGATAAGCCTCATCCTGGGAAAACCACCTTCATGATCATAGTATCTCCCCTGCCAGGTAAGTATGATTCATCATTTTCTTACTCAAATTCAATTATGCTTTACCTGGTATTATTTTGTTGTAGATTTTTCCTGCAGGTTGCTACCTGGAGCTCACCTTTCTAACTTCCCTATAATTTGGTTTCAAGAGTTAATCTCCAAAGGTATATCAGTTCCACTCACACTGATCATGCCAGACCTGGAGGGTCCATTTGACTTTGTTATCCTATCTGCATTTCTCATCAAAAAGGAGCATCAGATATTTAAGACCATATTTTCCTACTCAGATTTTCCATAATTATCTCAGCAATTTAAAAGGCAAATTAGTTTGTGAGGTCTAAAGAGTAAAATATTATTTAAGTAAGAAACAATAGTTATATAAAGAGGGGAAGAGTTTTTGTAAAAATTATTTTTTGAGAGATCTTTGCTATAGGGAGCATGTACTAGTTAGAAAGACAGACAGAGACAGAGAGAGGCAGAGACAGAAAAAGAGAAATCAACCCCAGGGGGAATGGTGATGTAGCAATCCCTTCTCCTCTGTTCTCCTTTCAGGATTATGGGCATGCACACTCATGCACCACCAGGTGAGTCTTGTCACCAAGTCCAGGATTGAAACTGCAGTCAACTACGTGGGAGTCCAGCAACATAATCAGGCAGCCTGCTGGTCTCCTAACATTATTTTAATGAGATCATTTTACATATCACAACATTATTATAATGATAGAAATACTATAAAAATTTCCTTCACATAATAATAAAAATGTGTTGATAATAAGTAGGATAGCCATATAATTTGTTTTCTAAAAGAAACCACATTTGAGTGTAGAATTACAATGAAGAAATAGACATACAATAGAATTATGTCAGGACACCAGGATGTCTGGATACTTACAAAGTCTGGGAAGTATGGTCATCCTAGGGAAAAGATAGTGGTAGTGATAATGTGAAATCTCTTAATGATACTTGGTGCCAATGAGGTTTTTAAATGCAAATGCTATTCCTAAACGGACTTGACCAAGAGTGTTCTTAAATATACCTTTCCCATGACCATCAAAATAACAGTGTAGGAGCCAGCATGTGCCATGGCATGTAAGGAGCTGAACTCCTACATGGCAGACCATGGGTCTAGTACTGGACCTCACAGCTTACTTTTTCTCTTTCTCTTTCTCACTGTGTCTTTCTCT